TAGTTTTTCCTTAGATTTGAACTTCACTCCCCCTCTGCGATTCGTCCTTAAAATACATAAGTGGGTTACATAGGTACGCCTGTGCATATGAACCAACTCTCCAGCTGGAAGTTGAAATTTTCGAAATCAGGGGAGGCAACGACTAAAAAGACATCAACTGCAAATGGAATCTTTCCAAACCCATGTTTTTGAAAATTTTACATTTCAAAGAGGGTGAATGAGAATCACAAAATGAGAGCGTCTGAAATAAAAACCTTGTTGAAAAAAAAATATCCTTGAGCTATCTCGGTTTTCCAGATGCATAAAAACCGTAATTTAGTTACTCATTTCTGATTATCTTTTTCAATTTGTTACTCAAACCGTCTTATCTTTGCACAACAACGATGTATGAATGCAAAGAGAAGCACTTCTCGTTTATACAAACGAAAAGAGTTGAAGGCGCTCCGGCTTTTTCAATGGATAGGTTCGGATGCAACTATTCGTGTTTTCAGGATGTCCAAGTTGCATACACACAAAATTGCAGGCTCTCTGACTTTCTGAAGCACAACGTACGCCTGCGATTGTTACTTCTCTAAAGAATTTTCTATTTTGCTGTACAATCATGAGAGAAAAGAACTCTAAGAAACGTGGTCCGAACTGTATGTAACAAGATAATAAATAACTTAGTGCTTGGTTCACACTATTTTTCGGGGAAAACGAGGCCAAAAAGTTCAAAAATTGCATTCAGAGTCAAAATTATAGAGCTCTAATGAGTGCCAGTAAAAGATTAAGTTGGAAAGCTGAGCTGAGCACCTCCTCCCCCCCCCCTCTGTCTTGTACTGGTACTCAATAAATCTCAAAATTGTTGACTCTATATAGAAATTTTTTAACTTTTTGGCCTCGTTTTCTCCGAAAAATAGTATGGAATGCCCAGCACTATTTTACCACATTGTTTTTCACAATCATGTTCACCATGAACTTGGACGAGTGAAGTAGCATCGTGGCAGCTTTGCAAAATTGTGCAAATCACGGACATGTTTTCGGTAGAAAACTTGCACCATTGGAAAAGTTGCCATGATTCAACGAGGTTCATTCGATTTCCAAAGAGCGCCTACAATTTTTTTCTGTATGCAACACGGACTGTCCGAGAACACGAATAGATGCATTCAAACCCAACCATTGAAAAACCCGGAACGTTTTCGATTATTTCCACTCTTGATAACAAAATGTGTCACTCGTTACAGCCATGGATCATTATGGGCAAAAAAGAGCGGAATCTCGCTCTTTGAAGGGTGACGAGATTTCTTGGATTTAAAAATTCCTTGACTTTTCAAATATTTTGAACAAGAAAATCGCCGACTTTTCCCTAGCTTTTAATGTTTCTTTGGTTGTTCAACTTGTCAACAACGTATAACAGCCACGCCGAAGCGCTTAGACTGAGGTTGCCATACTTTCATCCCGCTGAGACTATTAAAGGAACATTTCGTGTGCGATTTGACACATGTAGACTTTTGTTTTTTCATTAGCGGGAGGTTTGGATGTACGTATCGAAAAACGTTAAATATCTTAGTTAAGAATTAATGCCAGTAATTTTCGTTGCGTGAAGCCAAGGGTTTTACGAAAAATTATGATGTGAAAATACGCATGAGAATGCTTAAATTCGAACCTTATCTAGTGGTCCAAGTGAAATGTTTATCTATAGTCGAGCGCAACCCAGGATCTTGAAAGCGTGAAATAATGCAATGTTATGACTGGAGCAAAGATGTTTGCAGAAAAACTTTCTAAGTTTTCCCGACTTATCAGGGTTGGTCAAAATTCCTTATGACTAGAGATTATTCTCTTTCCAGGGTGTCTACTAAACCTGGCTGGCAAATATTAAATACTTTTACAGTACTTATTTATCAGGGACATTTCAAAAAATCATTACCTCACAAGCAGAAAAAATTCAGTATTTTTTTGGTACCATTAAGTTGCTTGTTGATTTGAGTCCCTAGTAAGTCAATTAAATTTCTTACCGCTTGTTTATTTTTAATTCTCCTATAAAAAGTATCAATGTTCTACATGCAATCCTAGGAGCACACTTAAATTCTACGATCAAAAGTGCATTAGCGGCAAAAGAAAGCCGACAAGGCCAGCCTGAAGGCTATTCCAATATGAATATTCCATCGCACGGCTAAGGCGCAGTGCTACAACTATTCGTACTCTCAGGGATGCGTGAGGTATCACGCCACAATTGAAGGCGTTTTCGAAACTGCCAACTTCCCGAATCGATCGGGATTCTAGTTTAGCATAAGTAGGGTGTATACTAAAACTGGCTGGCAAATATTAAGTATTTTCACATTGCTTATTTACGTAGCAGGGACCTCTCCAGAAAATCAGTACCTCACAAGCCGATAAAATTCACTATATTTTGGTAACTTTAAGTTGTTTTTTGATTTGAGTTCCTTTTATTCAATTAAATTTCTTACCGCTTGTTTCTTTTTAATTCTTCTACAAAAATTATCAATGTACTGCATGCAATCCTAGCTTGAGTAAACTTAAATTCTGCGATCAAAAGTGCATTAGCGGCAAAGGAAAGCCGACAAGGCCAGCCTGAAGGCTATTCCAATATGAATATTCCATCGCACGGCTAAGGCGCAGTGCTACAACTATTCGTACTCTCCGGGATGCGTGAGGTATCACGACACAATTGAAGGCGTTTTCGAAACTGCCGACTTCCCGAATCGATCGGGATTCTAGTGTCGCATAAGTAGGGTGTATACTAAAACTGGCTGGCAAATATTAAGTATTTTCACATTACTTATTTACGTAGCAGGGACCTTTCCAGAAAATCAGTACCTCACAAGCGGATAAAATTCACTATATTTTGGTAACTTTAAATTGTTTTTTGATTTGAGTTCCTTTTATTCAATTAAATTTCTTACCGCTTATTTATTTTTAATTCTTCTATAAAAATTATCAATGTACTGCATGCAATCCTAGCTTGAGTAAACTTAAATTCTGCGATCAAAAGTGCATTAGCGGCAAAGGAAAGCCGACAAGGCCAGCCTGAAGGCTATTCCAATATGAATATTCCATCGCACGGCTAAGGCGCAGTGCTACAACTATTCGTACTCTCAGGGATGCGTGAGGTATCACGACACAATTGAAGGCGTTTTCGAAACTGCCGACTTCCCGAATCGATCGGGATTCTAGTGTCGCATAAGTAGGGTGTATACTAAAACTGACTGGCAAATATTAAGTATTTTCACATTGCTTATTTACGTAGCAGGGACCTCTCCAGAAAATCAGTACCTCACAAGCGGATAAAATTCACTATATTTTGGTAACTTTAAGTTGTTTTTTGATTTGAGTTCCTTTTATTCGATTAAATTTCTTACCGCTTGTTTCTTTTTAATTCTTCTATAAAAATTATCAATGTACTACATGCAATTCTAGCTTGAGTAAACTTAAATTCTACGATCAAAAGTGCATTAGCGGCAAAGGAAAGCCGACAAGGCCAGCCTGAAGGCTATTCCAATATGAATATTCAATCGCACGGCTAAGGCGCAGTGCTACAACTATTCGTACTCTCCGGGATGCGTGAGGTATCACGACACAATTGAAGGCGTTTTCGAAACTGCCAACTTCCCGTAGCGATCGGGATTCTCGTGTCGCATAAAGTAGGGTGTCTACTTTACTAAAACTGGCTGACAAATATTAGGTACTTTTACAGTACCTTTTTCAGTGCCTTTCCAAAAAATTCAATAAGTACCTCATGGTCAGAAAAATTCAGTGCAATTTTGGTACGTCTAAGGTACGAAATTCGAACATCCTCGGATTTCACGATTCACGATTCATGAGCAAATTGCCAGAAAAAACGACGTAGCAAGGTTTGAAGCTTACTGGTGGCCCAAGGATCAACTGACTATATAATCTTGATCCAGTGGGAAAATACTGCGCTAAGAATCATTGTGTAACGGATTGTATCTATTTCAGGCTGTTTAAAAACACCCGTGGTATGAAGCAAAAAATTTCGGACCATTATAGGGAATTTCCGTACTTATTTTTCGATACTTCCAGACTGCCCCTAAAAAATCAGTACTACATATATCCCGATTTTCCGGACCAGTAGACACCTTGAACTTTCAAAAGGATCGAATTCCCTTTTTTCGTGATCTTTTTCCTCACAGGGAGGAGAAAATTTAGGATAAGGGTACCGGTGCCGGCATGCTTTGCGATAATATATAGATTGATCTGCCATTTAACACTTCGGAATAAGCTCGATAAAAAGGGTGTTTGCAAGGAGCACCTTAAAAATTAATTCAATAATCGATCATTCACGTCTCGCCACTATGAAAGGTACTGGTTACCTTAGGCACTTCAAGGCAAATTATTCTTCACAAGGCCATTCATAAAATACCTACATAAAGCTAAATTGTGGACTTTCTGACCCTCTCACTGAAAAAAAGTATGGTGGTATCTCTTTAGGTCTACTTGATTTTTGAAACAGTGGTACTATTTGGTGAAAGTAAGCTGGGATTAAAGCAGTATTTACCAGAACTCAGGTGATATTTGCCATAATATGGTAAATGCCAACATAAAGTCTGATGTTTATTACCAAACTCGGATTACTGTGTCAGAGTAAGGTAAAATCTACCATATTTTTTTTCAGTGCTCCTTTCTTTGTGTAACGAATTTGTGACTTAACTTTCTCCTGTGTCAGTTTCAGAGAGGAGGGCGCACAGATCATAAATATGTAACTTATGACTGCTCATTGGTGCCTACGGCGAGTTATTCTAAGATATTTTATTAAGAATTTGTTAGGGTAATTTCACTTAAAGTCTTGCAGATAAAAATGAACGTCTAAAAAGGCCACTGACGTTTCAATCAATAGTTATGAGCAAAACAAACAACTAGGATTTTTTAAAAAAAAAAATTTAACAGTCCTCAGACATTTTTGCATGTGCCACTTCAATCAATTTCTTCAAGTCCATGTTTCCATTCTTAAAAAAGATGCAATATAAAGAATAATACCAAAATACTCGCTTTTTTGAGTTTTATTAGTAAAAAAAGACTATTTGCTATTTTTACAAACAGTTTCAACAAAAGTACAATGAATTTACGACACACTTCTTCTAGAAATTGAAGACAAGATTTCCTTTTCAAAAGAGTAAATTAGAGTAGAACGAGATCTGAGATAAAACTGATAACCCTGTAAGGTACATACATGGAATCTGCTCAAGACTTACTTTCAGGGTTATTATAATCGATAGTTTCACTTCATTAATTTCCATAAAATCCGTAGAAAGCCAGTGTAAGGTGATTTTACGAGTGCAAATTCATCAAAAAATTTGATGTGAAATATTTTAATACAATCAAACATTTTATGATTTGAAAAAATAAGAGTTCATCAATCAGATTAAGTTCTTGCTGACATTACATGGTGAACAAGAGTTAACAAAAAAGCTATCAGATAAATCACATTTGACTTAATGCTATATCTTACAGATAAATCATGATAAAATATACAATCTATGTACACAAACACACACTTAAAACACGATGTAGCCTATCAATCGGTTGAAAACAATATTAAAGATTGAATCTTTTATTAAGCTAGATTAGAAAATTAGAGTTACTTCATCAGCCTGCTTTTGTTTAAGAGTCTTTTTTATTATATTGATGAGCATTAAAAACAATAAGAAATAATTCTTGTTTTCAGCAAACAAAGATGTAAATGTGAAAGTGCATTTTAAAATGGAAAATTGCTGGTGAAAGGACATTGATCGGTACTCATGACTCATATCGGAAGCAAACTATTCTGGCAATTTTCAAGCTGCGAATACGTATTAAAACTAATCTTGCCTCAAATGATTAGAAGTGCCTGGTGGAAAAGTTCTGACAAATCTACGAAAATAGACAATTTCACTCAGCAGAGGCATATGAGGGTGCAAGAGGAATAACAAAATACAAAAATATTCTTAGGAATAGATTTTGAAATCTTGGGGAGCATCATGCAAGGATTGACCGATAAATTCCATACCAATATTTTGGCATGTACATTAAAGCAGTTGAATTAGAGTACAAACAAAAGTAAACGAGATCGATAAGTAAAAGGAATTGCACAGTTTTAAAGTAGTGAAAAACATTCTTTCATACAACATTCACTACTTGATTTTAGTCACTTTACTTCGGTGGACAAGATAAAAGTCAAATCCTTACAAGTACTTGAACACACTGCTGAATTGAAGTATCATAAAGACAAAGTTAAGAGGTAAAGTGCATAATAATACCACTGGCTCATTCTACAAACACACGGGATCTTTATACATAAAGATTAAAAAATGACGGTGTGGCGAAATCAGAAAGAAAAAAAAAAAACCATAAAAAAATAATGTTTTGGCTAAATGCATTGTAGTTACTTGAATGCAGTCTTACAGTTCTTCGTGTTCATGATCGTCTGTTGAATCTGCTTCATCTTGATCTTCGGAGCCATCTTCTGATTTGCTACCATCCTCATTTTTGGTTTCCTCATCATCTTCGTCCTCAAGAACCTATAGCAAAAACCGCAATAATTAGAACAGGTACAGAGTAACAGTGCCAATAATTTTCTCATCAATTTGAAAAATTTTAGACAAAGTGACAGTTTTAGATAATTCCACTTCTTACCTTTAAAATTGTCTTTAATAATTTTCGTTCAAACTTCTCATTAAACGGTTCACACTTCATAATTTTATCCATTTGAGGAAAAAAAGGTGTTGATTGTAAAATTATTGTTTTTTTTTTTATTGGAATAAATTTCAATAGTAACAACGACTTAAAAGATGAAGAGACGGTAAGAAAAAGGAAAACAGTTTCTTGGACTTTTCCTCCTTTTCTCCTTTCTTACATTTTCCGACTCAAGAGACACTTGACAGGTAAGTAACTTCACTCACTGTTGCTTATTACAACAGAATTATTATTTGAAATGAGAACTTTTTTCGAGAATATTTTCCAGCGACTGCAGGAAATTAAATCAAATGAATTTTCAACAACTTTCCGCAAAAAAACACTTGTGTCGTTTCAGATCATAAAATTCATTTCTGAAAACACGAGCTCCCACAGTGATTACTGACCTGAGACTCAGCTGAGCTCAAGTGTCTATGGGCCTATTATAAAATCAAGCATGTTAATTCAGTGATAACATTCAAAGTAATAGGGAAAAAATATTGAGCATTGAAACTCACTTTTTCATCAGGTGAGATTCCGAGAGACTGCCTCATGAGAAGCTCCACACTTTGAGCAAATTCTGCGGAGTCTTGAAGCATGAATCCAGATCTGAGAGTGGCTGTATTAAACAGAAAAAATATATTTTTTGTTAGTGGAAGAAAAACAGGTCTTGAGACAGAAAGAGTACTAGATACATAATAACGCAAATCAAAACAAATGGAAAAAAATTACATACTTAAACCTGATAAGAGAAAACTAGTTTTGTGTATGGAAATTTCTGTCAATACAAAAAGAAGAATCAGTTGTTTATTGAAAACACTTGGAATATTTCTTAGTAATAATTTTTGTCACTACAGTGCTACTTTTGCACTCAATGCTAGCCGGTGAAATAAATTAATAAGCTTCTTGGAGTTTGGCACGGGACTTACTTTGTGAGAATTAAAGAGTCAATATCTAAAAAATGGCCGTGATTGAAAAATCATTGATTATATTCTCAATTTTTTCCCTTTTCTTTTTTCTTTCATTGATGCTGCTAATACCTGAAGAAAACGTGCGCCAAAGAAAAAGAAAAACTGTGGGTCATTCATTTGTTCTAAATGTCTGATAGATTTAAGTTCAGGACTACTTCGCTAGAAATGCCCTCCTAATTTAAATGTAAACCTCCTTCCAGTTTCATCTATGAACACTCGGTGGATAATTCTGGAATGAAAAAATTTAAAGCTTCTCCCCCATCAAAGGGATGGGATTCTTACCAGCCCATTCCTCTAATCTAAATGTAAACCTCCTTCCAGTTTAATCTATAAACACTCAGTGGATAATTCTGGAATGAAAAAATTTAAAGCTTCTCTCCCATCAAAGGGATGGGATTCTTACCAGCCCATTCCTAGCATATGCAGGTAGTAGTTGATGGGACTTGGTTTTCTCAGTCCCCGCTTTCAAGGCAAAAAAAAAAAAAAAAAAAAAATTCAAGCTTATGATACTTGGTAAGTAGTCTAGAACTAAAATTACTACTTACCGGTTCTGAACATCATTAAGGCAATGTCTTTGGCTTTCTCATCTTCTGGGTCATCTTTGACACGCTTCAATAGCTCTCTAACAAGAGGATGCTTGTGATTGACCTCTAGAGTCTTCCTCTGCTTCATGTAGTGCTCCCTCTGAGGGTCGTCTGACTTCTGGTGAGCGTTGGAAAGTGCCAATCGCTCCATGTTACCAGTCCAACCAAACATGCCAGCGACAAGAGCGCAGGGAGTGTCAACAAGACGTTCCGATAATACTGCTTTTGAAATCTGAGCAGAAAAAAGAGTAGAACGTGAAAAACGGCAGTCGTAGTCAGGAAAATGAAAAAACTGCCACTTGATGAAATAAAAGATGAATGTGTATGTTAAGGTGGATCTACAGCGAAGTATTCAGGGTACGATTGATATATTTAAATTTTTGAAATGTTGAAAATAGAATTTTCCAAAATCTTAAAAAAGTTTGGAGGACTATTTTCATTTTGAAACCGATTTCTATGTATCTAAATGGATGGTTAATTGAACTGATTTCATTTTGATAAAGACTCCAATGTATCTATATCAATAATTTATTGGTAAAAATATTTTTGACTTTATTTTGAGATTTCGGAAAATTATTTTCATAACAAACATTCCTGGATGATTGATCTGAGGATTAAAATTTCAATTATCCCAAGATAATCCACCTAACACTTCAAACTTGAAATGTATCGATCGTACACAGAATGCATTACGTAAAATCTAAAAAGCTACCTCAGTTTAGGAGTCTCAAGGTAAATTCACCTAAATAGACCTGAGTTGAAAGTATGTGAATAAATTATTGCAACATCAAAATACCTTCAAGCATAGGGTCATAGGAGAGTCATGAGAAAATTTTGAACACAGAAAAAGTTGTTCAGGCAGTTTGAGGGGTTTTTGTCCTTATCATACCGTGCTAGGGAAAAACGCTGTATGAGCATTCCAGAGTTGCCAAACTTCCTCCAATAAAATGTTCATTTTTGACTCACCTTTCCTTTCAATGCGTTCTCTGACAGCCATTTGGTCAAAGGTTCAAACTGCTCGGAGACTTCTTTCAGCTTTTCAGGGTTGTCAAGCGTTAATCCTTCCTTTGCAACATTCTGGAATTTCTTGCCTTCAAATTCAGGAAGGGAAGAGACAGCATATTCATCAATGGCTTCAATCAGGTACAACACTTCATACCCCTTGGAAATCAACCTTTCAACGAAAGGTGATTTTTCAACCTGAGAACGAAAAAAATAAAAATAAAATAAGCGAAAATTTCCAGAATTTCAATGAGGGAATTGATAAGAGAGATAGGAAAAAAACGAATTTAGCAAAATGACTTCAGAGAGTTTCACTTTTTTCGCTCCCTTAGTTTATTTATCTCTGCTCTTGTTAATATGTATTGAAGTTATTGCATTCTGATAAACCTAAGTCTGTTCTTCACATGGATATTTTAATGGATTTGATTGTACAGCAGAAATTGGATAGGATAACATCACTCACAACAAAATATTGGACATAATGGCATGATTTGGTCCGTCTTGCAGCTGATATCAGCTATGAAAACCAAAAAAAGCTAGTCCCTACAGGATCATTAGACGATAGGTATCCCTGGTTTTTTTTTTCATAAAATTCCAAACATAATTGTTATATCTCTATGGGAAATGAGTCAAACTGATACTAGAGAAATATTCCAAAAATTTTGAGATAAAAAAAGAGGAAAATTTTTTTTAAAAAGTCAAATGGAGGATCTCTACCATGACAGAGTGGTACCATGGAGAGTAAGCGTTGCAGAGCGCTCTAAAGCGCCGTAAAAGCGGCTCATACATACATACAAATGAAACCAGAGAAAACCATACTTAAAGAGCCATAATGTTCAAAGACGGTGATTGGATATTTTAATCTATCAGGTTCAGGGTTGCCACAGAATATAGAAAACGAAATTCTCTGGCATTTCCCTAATTTCTCTGTCACATTTTGGTAAAATTCCCTGACGATGGATGGGAGCGAAAACACACCAACTCTGTAACTCAAAAATTAGGTGAACAGCTAGCGACTTATGCCGTAGAGCGGTCCCTGTCAAAATTCAAACTCTGATTTTGCAACCTTGCTTGACAAAACTAGTTCTGAAAAAATTGGTTCCTGAGTAAAAGGTCCTTTCTTTGACCCTACAGGCAATCTGTAGAGGCCAAAGAAAGCTCTGTTAATGGTATTGTACATATGATTGCACTTTGAAGGCTTTCTATCTCTTCATTGATAGATTTCGAGATTCAAAAAAATTTTAATGGATAAAGTACCTCATCTCGAGAGGTTCCAGCGATGAAGTAGATGTGATCTTGCTTTGGCTTCATCCTTGTGACATAATCTGCAAGGGATGTGAGCCCAGACTGGTTGGAGGAGTAGAAACGCAGCAACTTGGCAAGCCTCACTCTGTTGGCTGGGTCTTCAACAATTCCTAATTTTACACTGCAAAAATACGAAAACATTTATTAAAATCTCGGAATAACAAATTTAAAGGAGAGACAACTGTACACTAATGGGCACCTGCTATAAAAATGAAAAATATTTGCCACACCTCTGTGTTACAATAAAAGACTAATCAGCTGGGAAAGAAGAATCACATAAGTTATATGAGATTTGATACATTTTGAATACATTTTCTAGATTCAAAAATATCCAACGCTTTTGGCACAGGGAAAGCGCTGAAAAAATATCTAATTTTTGGATGGATAAAGGTGCACTTTTAACGATTTAGTGCCCTCTCAGAAAGATTTCAGAGAGACCTGACAAGCTAAAGAGAAAAAGCTAAAATGATGGGCAAACGTACTTTGTTGAGTACTCCTGGTAGAATTTCTTGTAAGTTTCAGGATCCAATTTCTTGATCATATCCAAGGCTTTCCTGACCAGCTTCTTTCGGATGACCTTCAAGAGCTTGTGTTGCTGAAGAGTCTCTCTCGAAACATTCAAGGGTAGATCATCTGAATCAACAACTCCTCGCAAAAAGTTCAGGTAGCGTGGCAAGAGGTCCGTAAACTCATCAGTGATGAATACTCGTCGCACATACAACTGTAAAAGACGAAGACAAATTTGAGGCATTCAGTGTTGTCACTATTGTTATTGACATATCAATGGCTGCGGAAGAATACCACCCAGAATCAGTGTAAACTGATGATTTTTCAACTGGAAAATTCTGGCAAAGAAGACACTTTGCCATTTTCTGACGAAGAAGACACTTTGCCATTTTCTGGCAAAGAAGACTCTTTGCCATTTTCTGGCGAAGAAGACACTTTGCCATTTTCTGGCGAAGAAGACACTTTGCCATTTTCTGGCGAAGAAGACACTTTGCCATTTTTGTAATTTTTAGGTTAGATTCGCAAATTTTTACACATTACAGCGCTCTAATGCACAACGGGGGGAGGGGCATCAGCTTGCAGATTTTATACTGTGGAATGGAACAAAGTCCCTCGTTTTGGCAACTCGTTTTCGGCAAAATTGTCAGTTAGACGGTATATCTTCCCGCACACCAATATTCTTGAATCTCCATAGGTAGAAAACTATGCTTTGAGAGTGCCTTGTTGAAATATTTACAGCTGAGATGTTTCCTTTCTACAAAAACACCAAAAAACAACGAGCTTTGACTTCCCTTATTCTGACAGATCACAATGCAAACTGCAACTCTCTCTTTCCCTCACTGCTCCCCTTGCTTTCCTCTCTTCTGAAGTGCTCAGTTTCCTGAAAATTGTGTTTACAAAAAGCATTGATGTCTAGGAATCTTACCTTGATATTGTCTGAGACAGTGCCGTACTTGTTAAAACTGTCAGCTGGCTGCGCATTGGGAACAAACAGCAAGGACTTGAATGTAACTTCTCCTTCCGCGACGAAATGAGTTTTTGCCAGAGGGTCGTTCTTGTCCTTGGTCATGGACTTGTAAAATTCATTGTACTCAGCATCTTCAATTTCATTTGGCCTGGAAATAAAAGAACAAGTTTAAATGATAGGACAAACTGCTTGACGATATATTATTTGGTCGTCTGAATTTACATTATTGAAAAGTGGAAGTCTAAGACTAAATACATAATTCTTGATCGATGAAAAGCAATAGCTAAGGCTCTTGCAAGTCCTTCATAGGCAATAAAAGTTTATGAAATAAATGCTTATCCATATTTCTTATTAATAGAGTGAAATCATACAATTGTAAAGAAAAATTAGAGAAGAACCCCTCATTCAGGGTGTTGATAGACTTCAGGGGAGAGGATCCTCTGACCTTTTCAAGCTAGGTATCTACAGTAATACCTCAAATTATCGAATCACGATTTTAAGGATCGATCCTCCGATCCCTTTGGACCCACTAGTGCCATTTAACAAATTTGGTCTTCGGTCCTGTGAAGTCCGATAAACCTCGGTCTTACTATAGATTAATAACGAAAACTCTTTGCCTTTTCGAAACAGCATAATGTTAATTCAAAAATAGAATTGCTCTTCAACCTTTTCTCACTTCATTACTGATACAATTTTAAAAAATCTTTTCTAAACAATTGTAGAAACTTAAGGTGGATAAAAACAAAGCAGTCTTCTCGGGCTGCAGCCATTTCAATAAAAATTATTCAAGTTTCCTTTTCTGAAAATTTCAAGAATTTCAGACTTTCTATCCATTAGATATCTTGTTCTTTGACTGACTCTTTCTCCACATTTAACATCTGCTCACTTGCTTTTCATCTAACAGATATGAGCTCTTAAATTTCAGCCTTCCGTTTTATCTCAGATAGTTTAGCAAAATGAGCCAAAATAGAAAGAAAAATCTTACTTTCTTGTCCAAATTGGTTTGTGGTCGTTCAGGAGCTCCCAGTCCCATACGGTCTTTTCAACCTTTTTGGTTTTTGGTTCTTCATCTTTGGATTCTTCGACTTCCACATCTTCCTCTGCTTTCTCAGTTGGAGTTTCATCCTTGGAGTCCTCTGATTTTTCTTCATCTACAGGTACCTCTTCAGTTACAGTCTGAAAGAGGAATACCCTTAATCAATACCATACATACTAAAGCGTTGCTCCTATAGTGCACTTTGATGCTCTGCGATACCAAAGCTCCACTTATGCCTATCTCAAAAAGTGACTAACTCTACTTAAGATACTCTAAATATTCAGGAAAAACTGCAAGTCAATTCCATGGATTCTAATGTAAATCAAATTTTTTAGAACCTCACAAATCATGACTGGCAAATGATAGGTACCTAAAATGTTATACACGCACACTATCTTTGAAATACTTTTTTCAAAAATAACAACTAGGTACCTCTATTATCTGGGGTGCTAATTTAAAACTTTGACTAATATTAAACTTCTTCAAAAGGAGCAACATCACTTCAGCTAAAGTTTTTCACTGCACAGCATTTAAACAACAAAAGAGAACCGAGAGAAATTTTCCCACAAATTAATTACATAAATTATGGGTTTTATTAGAAAAACATTTTCTCTTGCTGGTTGAACTTTTCTCAGCAAAAATGATCCAACATTCAAAATATTGACTTTCAATTTATTATTTGCCATCAACAGTTCAAACTTCAAACCTATTTTAAACCGTTCAGAGTCCATGTCACTTACTTCCTCTTGGCTGTGCATTGCTCCTTTGAAGATTTCAAGATTATATGTAGTGAATTAGTGACTTTTACTCTCTTTTTCTCCCTGAATGAAACATCACGAGAATAAATGAAGGATCTTAAGTTGCTTACAATTCAACTGGAAATGCAAAAATACCTCACTCTATTATAGAATACTTAAAATGTATTGAGAACTCACCTTGCTAGACCAAATATAGATTGGGAAGTTGATGAATTGAGAATATTTCCTGATAAGGTTCTTTAGGGTGTCAATTTCAACAAAATCAGCAGCCTCATCTTTCAGTTGCAAACTGCAAGCAAAATTGAAGAATAAAATCAAAATTAGAATTTCGTAACTCAAGTAATGGAAATTGAATTTATCAATGTGAAAAGATAGAAAATGTGTGACAGAAGCAGAAGAAACGTAACAGGGCTTCTGAGGGGTGGATAAGACTTGTTGCAATGGGTCAGTTACAGGGAATTTTTGGGAGGTTGTGGTGTAGTTTTTCTGACGTAAAATTTCTTGAAAAATCCAGAGAGTTCAACAAAGCATTTCTAAGGCACAAAAGAGCTGATCAAAATCCGACCAAGGAAAAGTCGACGTTTACGTTGATATGGTGAGGCAATACCTAAATATGAGTTCAGCCAATAAGCTGACGCCATTTCCCCCGCTTGGCCATCCTATTTTTGGCGATTTCAAAACGAAGTTGTTTTGTAATTTAGGGTGAAAAAAAATAATGAAACATTCCTTGGAGCTTGGTTTACTCTGTACTTTAAAAAAAAATGAATTTTAAAAAGTGAGTGCCACTGACCCATTGTTTCACCAATAGAATAATCCAGCCAAACTGCTGTTGAGAACCTCAAGAACAACAGAGATTAATGATGGTAGTTCCAAGTTTCACGACCCAGAGACTTTGTTGGGACATATTATTACATCGTATGGAAATAAAAGATTATCAGAAAAAACCAACTTAAAATGAATAATACCTGATGGTTGTTCCTCGCTTGAGAGTGGTACCTCGAGGATCTTCAGCAATCGTGAAACTGGATGCGTCTGATTCCCAAATATACTGCTGATCTTCATTGTGTTTCGTGGTCACGAAAACTTTATCGGCGACTGAAAATTAAAAAGGACTGATTTATACTATAAGTTTATTCAATTTAAGTTTACAAAGGGTATTTACTTTGCAAAGTCTACGGAAATATTTAGATAAATGCTTCAGATTTGACATTGATGAACACATGCTTGCCTTGTTAGCTCATCAAAAGAGGGGAAATTTACTTTCGCAGAGACTATATTGGCAAGCATTCCTTTCTGCAATCAAGTGACTTGTAATTCAAGGAAGCATCCATCATTTGGTAACCCGTTTCTCTCTACTGTTTGACCCCTATGTGCTATGATTATCATTATAATTCCTGAAGTTTTACGACAAAGATTTTTCTCAAATTTTATCACACAAATGAACTTCGGTCTACCCACAATCTAGGTACTACTTTTGATCTACACGCAAGAATTTCAAAATCTGAATCATCCAATATATTTCTAACAGAGAAGTGTTTTTCATCACACTGAAATTATTTTTATAGTTGCGATTAAAAATTAGGAAACGCCATAGGCCTTGAAAAAAACTTGGAAACTCTCCTATTCTACTTAAAACACTTCATTCCTTATAAAAGAACTTTCTGTCTCTTAGCAATTGATGCATATGTAATAAATTTTTTTTTTTTTTCAATTTTAAATCAGTGCACACGTGTGTTTTGCGTTTTTTTTTTTGCACTCAATGTTCAGTCAGCCAGTGCTTTTGCCTTTTTGCATAGTTTGAGCATGCGATCGACATTCAGTCAGTGGGTACTTTTCCCTGAAAATGAGAAGTTAGGAGAGTAAATTTTAGGATCCACATTGAGTTAGGGGGGAAACTTTTTTGAACCCCCGATCTCCCAATGAAGTAAATGAACAACAGTGAATCTTTACCCAAAAATGCGGAGTAGAATCCAACACCAAACTGTCCAATCATGTCATTCAAATCTTGTTTCACTTCCGATTTTTCATTCATCTGACTCAAGAACTCAGCAGTTCCAGATTTTGCGATCGTTCCTAGATTCTTCACCAAATCTCCTTTGGTCATTCCAATACCAGTATCTGTTATGTGGAGGACTTTGTTATCCTTGTCAGCCTGTGAAATTCAGAAACAAAATGAAAGACTGATTAGAAAAGGAGTTCAAACATAAAAGGATCCATACCATATAAATCGGTTTGTGACGTTGTAGGCTTTCTGTCATGTTTTATCTTTTAAATGGTAAACTATTCAAAGTCAATAAATCCTTGAAAACTTCTGTGATTTTCTTCTCTCTGCAAAGTAAACTCTGTAAAAACTTCAAGGCATGATACTGATTTGTTCTCCTTGAAAAAAAATAAAATGAAAACAGAGACTTAAACTCTGCAAAAAATATATGTGGTTTGGTAGTTTCATCATCAATATGGTGTTGAGGCCCATTCAGTTGGTTACAGCACAACAGCTGGAAAAAAACTAAACCTCTTTAAACTCAACCGCCTCATTCATTTATATTAAAACCAATTGATAGAAATGATTTTCAATAATGACCAGCCTTCTTGGTCCAATTAATAGTCAAAGAAAAATAGTTGGATAAGAAAATTGCTACTTTAACAATTCAAAGTTGTAGAATTTGAATATAACATGTTTCATTCTTCTTCAGAATAGAATTTTTGATTGTTTGTCACAAAAGAAGCTGCTGCTGAAACTCTGAAAGCTGATCTGGCAACATGCTAGCGCTCTGAGATTGATGCATTTGGTTGATTGTTTTCATCCATAATCGCAACATTGCACCGTTAACATTATAGATAAATGAGACAAAACTACAACTTCGGGTTTTTTATCGATAAACTAGTTTTCATTAAATTATTGAAGTTCTTGTCAAAGTGAAGATAATAGGGCTATAGCTGAGTCTTTCGAGCCAATAAAAAAGGAAAATATATTATCATGCTGATGAAGGGAGGTACCTTTATCCGGATCGCAAGCTCTGAGTTTGTGTCTAAAACACCTGGATCTGTGAGAGACAGAAGTCGAATTTTATCTAGCGCATCGGATGCATTAGATATCAACTCCCTCAAGAAGATCTGTAACAAATAAAATTAAAATTACTTGACTGGATAATTGACTGCTTTTCCCCCCTCTCTTTTCGGAGGAGTAAATGTCGAGAAATCAACACTCTTTGATATGTCTCTGCCAGAAAATGTGAAGACTTTTTAGGTGTAGTGTTAATGGAAATATGTTTCCTCCCTTTAAAGTGCCAGTGTACCTTGGCATCCATGTTTTTTCTTTCAGCTAGCAAAACATTCTTCCAAGTTTCCTTTCACTGACCCTTTCTTGCTTTGCTACCCAAAATTGAGTACAGCCGTTGGGGGAAATGAGAAGACAATGGTTGATGTACCAAGTTTACAGGGTGGTTTTGACTTTCAGGAAAATTCTGTATTTCTTATAATAAATTGAATTTTTTGCAATACTCTCGGAAAAACAGCAAAATTAAGTTAAGCACTTGAAATTGTAAGATGTCCCTGCACACATCTATGCTCAGATAATTGAAAGAACTTACAGATTCATTAACAGTTTGAGAAAGTTTGTAGGTATTTAATTTTCAAAAGGTACCTACTTAAAAGAAAATACAAAAAAAAAAAAAAAAAAAAAAAAAAAAAAAAAAATCCAGAGAAAAAAAGTGTAAGGAATGCTACATACTTCTTTGTTCCTGTACAAAGAGTTGATGATCAATTTCATCATTCGATTGACTTCAGCTTGGAAAGTTTGCTTTTCTGCTTTCTCCTTCAACTCTCGCAGTTGCGCAACATTCAAGCCATCAATCAGAATTCTTTCTTCTTCCCTTTGAACGACTTCAGCATCTGTGAAGAAGAAAACATTAAGAATCAAAATTGTGAATGAAAATGTATGAAACCCTCATAAGTGGGTATTCCTTCTTTGCAAGGGTTGCCAGAGAATTTAGAAAATGAATTTCCCCGATTCCCCTAAAACATTTTGGTGAAATTCCCTGACAATTATAGGTACACCAGAGGGTTAAAAAAACATAATTTGAAATAGGTGTCAGACAAAATTTGTTGATCAGAACTTTGAACCTATACTAGAAAGCAATATAAAGATGACTTAAGTAACAATTTTTCCCTGACATCTCCAGGTTTTCCCTGACTTCTTGATATTCCCTGACTGTAGCAACCGTGCAAAATAAAATTTGTGCTTGAATTTATTCTGTGCTACAGGTTTACTTTCCAACATAGATCACGAGAGAATAATTATTGAGGAGTTATCGTCCACAAGTTTTTAAAATTTGAAAGTATTGAGGAGGTAAATACATAGGAGGAAACGTAAAGTTCGTCTGCTCTGGATCACATTTGTTTCAGTGTCTTTCCTCTTGAAAAAAAATTGATTTGAATAATGCAAAGTCAAAACTGACTGCTTTTGTCAATGGATGTAAGATCATCAAAAAAAAAGAATGTATAACTGAGGAGCTTGAGTTCTCGAAAATAGAGAGAAAATATTTACCAGTTCTTGATCCTTCCCTGCTTGCACCTAGATCAATATCGATTGTTTTCTCCTCAATGATTTCATCTTCTGCTCGGGCTCCTGTGTGGTAAACAAAAAATGTAAATACTTATACTTCATTGAAGCAAAATAAAATACTTAAAAAATAATCATGCTTAGCGATGGCTACAGTTGAAAATGCTTCGCTCCTCATCTCCAGCAAGGCAGAAAAGAAATTTTTGTAGCCCTATTACATGCATTTGTAGGTAGATAAGAGTCTAGGATTGCTACTCTGTGTGTGTAGTCACTATCATTTAACAGAATTTGATTCTTTTTGCCTATTTCATATTCAGAGCCTTGGAGGAAACAAAAGCTTGCTTCTGTCACCAATCAGTTGTTACCAAGAGATATTGCACGTAGATTGCAATTAATTCACTTCCCAGACCCCCTACTTTCAAGATTGGTACATTAAATAATTTATTTTGCAAGCTTATTGTGGGCGGGTCATAGGGAACATCATAACAAGTATACGTATTGAGATTCAGCCAGCCCCGACTTTCTTCGTACAATGTGTAGACCTCTGATTCACAATATTCGTTTGAGAGAATGAAACAAGAGCAGGAATTTTCAATGCAGCGATCAGGGATGCACATTTTTCAACTTATACAATTAATGTGTTGTAACGCATTCAGTGGTGCTTTTCGCCAATTCAAACAACAGATTCTCATTTCTGTTACTTTATACACTAAATTCATTACCACATTGAGTCAGAGCTGTCTTGGAGGCAGCTCTATCCTCAGCTATCGTTGTAGCTTACATCAATGATAAAAAAAGGTTTCGTTCTTGAACATTCTACAGAGGTGCTTAAGTAATATCCGTCCAAACCAGAAAGGGTTTGATTCAATTACTGAGGAAGCAAATGCGTTCAAGACATTCGTGAAATTTGCTACGATTGTGCAGTGCGTTTGCAATAAATCATTGGTTCAATCCAGATGGAAAGAGGTCCAAAAACGCCGATAAGAAAAGCCGGCTGGGCATGTAAATACGGCTAGAAGCTGTCAACTGCAGACTGAAGACTACAAGTCATAAGTACTAACCGGCTAGGGCGAATATCAGCAGCCCCAGGGAGAGAGCGATCAATTTGCTGCCTCGAAACATGCCGAATCACTTCACTTAGATTTATCACAGCGAAAAATCGGACATAATATCATAAAAATTAGAAAGACATGACCACGAAATCACCAACTACAATAGTACGCAGAGATTAGAGAAGGAATTGCTGACGGAGTGATTGTGAATACATTGATAACCTCACTTTGCCACAGCCAATCAGAGTGAACCACGCCAAGTCGCGCGGACCAATCACTATCACCAATGTGTCTTCTTTCAGTTCAGAGGACAAGAGCGCTAATTTCAAACGTGCGCTGAATTAGCGAAGAGAACGTGGCAAATCAATATGATGCAAATTCAAGGAAGTTTACCGCGTTCCTCTGCCTTGGCAACTGACGGGTATCTATGAGCATGCTTAGACGAGGAACATATGTTAAAACTCTAATAATTACATGGAGCTTATGGCACGAATTGATTTTTAAATTAAAAATTTAAATATAAGGTGAAAGATGAGTTAAGGGTCTCAATTCATTAGGCAAGGAGCTACTTTAACCCTGGTAAAAATTGGCGATAGGAGCTGCGTTTCAAAATACCATATAGGAGTTCTTATAGCCGACGGAAGAAGGCGATAAAAAATCATATAGCTGGCTGTATAGAAAATGGAAAAAATCATGAGGCCGGCTACACGAAGCGATAAAAAATTATACAGCCGGGCTATTGTTTCTATCGCCGGGCTTTACACTTTATCGCCTGGCTGTTGCTTTTTTGCCATCGGCTATAAAAGGCTATAAGATGTTTTGTAGAAATTCGTGTGCTTTGTAAATCCTTAAGTTTGTACGGAATCACCTTAAATATTTACAAAACTCACATTATATTTTCCTTTACTACATATTTTTTTTCATCAATTAAAATGAGAATAATCCATACAGAGTGTGCAAACATTTCAAAGTCATGAGTTGAAAAACGCTGACTCCGTGAGATTAAATACAAATTAGAGCCTAACACAAAGCGGAGCGGCGCGGCGCGGCGGCGCACTGGCGCCTACAAACCTAACAGGGATACCTCACGCATTGCGTAATGCGTGAAGTATCCCTGTTAGGTTTGTAGGCGCCAATGCGTGTTTCGCGCTGGCTGCCCGCCCGCCGCGCCGCGCCGCAGCGTACCACGGCGCTTGAAGCAACTATTTCACACCAGAGGTATTGCACAGTATCATACGAAATTGAATTGGCGTTCCAACATGGGAACATTCGTTTTAGGAATGGCAGGCATCCTTTAAAAGTACGGAGCTTTCCTCGCAAAATAAATACTACGACCAAAACGATACTACGACCCAAAAAGAGAGTGGTAGTCCAAGAACTCACTAAGTCCTAGCATCCGTAATTAGTAACGTTTAGCATACTCTTTATCGCCAGGCTGTCGCTTAGTCGCCATCGGCTATAAAAGGCTATGAGAAATTTGGTTGCCGGCTATAGAAGCTATTGGAAATCTTACAGCCGGCTGTAGGTCTATGGTATTTTGGAACACAGATTCTATTGCCAATTTTTACCAGGGAAACTTGAAGTTGTTGGTAGTTTTGGAATAATTTATGCTATATTAATTATATTGGTATCTTTCAGTTTATTCTCTGAGGTGGCCCAAGTACGAAACCACGTATCTCCGTTTGCAACGTTGCAGACTTCTTGTCGTACTTAATTATTTCTTTGGAAAGCTAGTCAACGCAAATTTCTTGAAAATTTCTTTGATCTTTCGTTTTTGTTGGCAGAATATTTTGTATGAATTTCAATGTATGAAGTTCGCTTTCCTATTGGGAAAATTAAAATTCAAGCGGAAATTTTGAACCGCTGCGATGGAGATACGTGGTTTTGCACTTTGAACATCGATATTTGGACCGCATTTTGCAATTCGAAACTACGATTTCAGGTCCGTCTATAAAGGCACCTATCTAAATAAGATAACTTATGTCACATGTGATGTTTCTAAAACAAACCAGAAATTATAGTTCCTGATTGCAAAATTCAGTCCATTTATACTAGATACAGCCCACTCAGGTACTCGGGCTTACTTCACTTCGGCACTGAATGGACCCCTGTAAACAAGAAAAAAGCCTTATCATAATCTAACGCAAAACACGTCTAATTAACGTACTGACATTGGACTATATTTTTCAATTTGGAACTACATTTTCTGATTAGTTTAGAAGCAACGTATGTAATTCTAATTTCCTTGTGCACATACGTTTTTTTTTACAGATGAACCAGAGATTGCACACATTCCGAATTACAAAATGTTATCCAAAATCGACTGATACTTTATATGAATCCGTGGAGATGGAAATACATCAACTCGCGCGGAAACTTAAAAATGCCAAATTTTCAAAAAACCCATTGAAGATAGCGCATCTGTGTTGACTTGGGCCTTTGAAACGTCTTATTTTTAATTTTTCATCTTGTCCAGTGGTCTGTAGACTCGTGCTTTCCCCGTTGTTCTAAGAAATCAAGATGAGGGCAGGCCACTCATTTGTAAGTGATTCAAAAAGAGGGTATAAGCTGTGCCTTTAGAGGAACCTTACAGGAGAGGATAGCGTAAAAACGTCGGAGTGTCTGAAGTTATATACTTGAATGGCCCCTGTATCAAAGCTTAATAAGAACCATATGTTGAAAATAAGGGTGTGAAGCGCTCCCTTTTTCTTGAGAAACCTCAAATACATTGCTTTATGTTGCACCTGACGTTAAAAGCAACAAAAAAGGGCGTCAAAAGCCCCCCTCCCCACTTTTTGATCACACGTACATAACGCCACGCGCCCTTTTCTTGTTGTCCAACCAGTGCCGTGCCTACATTAAGAATAGACTCTAAGATTACCTAGTCGATGAAAAAGCTGTAAATGATTGACGGTGGACTGAGGTTGCAGCTGCTACCTACTTTGATTGTTTATTCAATTGCAAGAACGTGCCATCTTGTTCATTAACTTCATTCACCCAGTTTCTGCGACGCGTGACTCGCTCTTGAATTACTTTTTGAACTACATGAGACAAATCGATGACTACAGTGTAGAAGTGCGTAACTCGATTTTTGACAGTCTTGAGTTAGCTGCACAAACGTGTCTATCTGCCAGCAAGAGACTATACCTGCCAGTTTATCGTGTCTATCGGCCAGCAAGAGACTATACCAAAGTAGCATTTTTCAACGGAAAAATCGCGATATATTGCAATTTTATCGGCGATAAAATCGCTATATAGGATCATCAACATCTCAGCAATTATCCTCGATCTTGTTGCAATAAAATCGTGATTTTATCGCCCGGCAATTTATTGCATATACGGCGATTTAATTTCGATTTTATCGACGAAATGGGCTACTTGGATGTCCTAGGAGGCAGCCCCGGTGTGTTGGGCTTCTTGGATGCCAAGGGGGTCAGCCCCTGGAGTTTTTCAAACCCTCCTTAGATTAGATAGGGGCTCTAGACTGAAAATGTAAAATCAGCTCTTTAACCACTTTCAGATGAAGCAATAAAAAATTTGCATGCATATTCTCCATTTGACCGAAATTGTATTTTAAATTTTATGTGCTTGGTAAAACAATATGAGATTTCCCCAAAAAACATGAAAAGTTGTTTGCTTTAGGTATCCTTTACAAATATGTAAGCGTGAATCGTAAAATTTTTAGGTGTAGATTCTTTTTTTAGTTTTTATTTTAGTTTTACCACAGAGAACAACTGAATTCTCTCGGATTCAATTCCAAAAATTACGTATCAACTATCAAATACCCAGCAATTTATTTTCCATCCAGACCTATATTATTAAAAAAAGTAGTTCAAGATTGAAATGAAGAATATTTTATTTGGCAAGATTACAGGCAACGATGCCTAACAATAAGCAAAGATAATAAATAAATAAATAGTTTTATAAATTACAGAAAAGAGAGGGAAGAGGATTCATAGAATATAAAAAGAGGATTCAGGTACGAAGTCGATTCTTTCGAGACTCACACAGTGAGTCTGAACATTTTAGCATCTGATGGATGGCTGCCCTCCAAGTCATTGATATCGTCTTGTTTCCAGTAAGGTACTCGGAAAATCAAACATCGTCGTGAAAGGTTTTGAAACAACGCATTCCTGCTGAAACTATATACAGAGATATTTATTTTAAAACGTCACGTTTAAAGTGCCTGCTGAGTTTATTGTGCTCTCAGCCCAATGATGAATGGCGGAGACATCAGCGGATTCAGCGAATTGGCAACATTGATTTTCGCCATTTAAACCTATGAATATGTATCGATTCTTGGAGAGGCCAGGTGCTCCGACAAAAATCGATTATTTACATGGGTTTAAATGGAGGGAATCAGGTGTTGCCAAACTGCTGGATCCGCCTCTGGGCAGAAATGTTTGAAAAGGGGACTAGTACGCGGGCCTGCAGACTTTTCCGCATCCGTTACTGCAGCACTTGAATTTTCCAGGGCAGTGTTTGTCCTTCTTACAACTCTCCTGGCAGGAAGCAACGGTGCCAACTATGACGGCAGGGCAAATTCCTTTCTTGTCGGAGCCGGCGTCCACGGACCTGGAGCCCAAGAGCATCACGGCGAGAAAAGCGACGAAGATCAAATGTAACAGCTTCATTCTGAAATTTCTGCACAAAAATAAATCAGAAGAAAAAAAAAAATTAGTGTAGGAAATCAATAGCTGAAGTCAACGAATGCGTATCTCCTTTACATATTAGCGCTGTCTCCACTCGTCAAAATGGCATCAAAATGGAAGCTCAAAGTGAATCGATTTCAACGATAAGTGCCTCAAAGTCGGGACTTGATGCGATTGATGAGTGTTGCAACTCAAAATAGAGCGGCGTGACTCTTTTTTGATCAACAATCGCGAACAGATTGTATTTATCGATTCACTTTGAGCTTCCATTTTTACGCCATTTTGACGAGTGGACACAGGGCTATTTTCAAAATCTCCAAAAATGTTTTTTAGCACATTATGAGTTGAAAAAGTTGTTAGTCCTTTAGTTATGAGAAAAAGGCATTTAAAGTTGTAGCCTGCCACGTTGGGATCTCAAAATTTCTGATTGTATGTAATGGAACAGAGGTAAAGAGAAAAGGAAAATAATTGCGAAAAAGTTAGGACTGATTTAAGTAAGGAATAATTTCTGTGTCCGAAAATTATTTCGATTTTTCTCGATTAGCTAAATTTTTCCTGCAGTGATTGAAAATTTTTCCTTAAAATTTGGTTTCTTTGAGGAATCGTTGTATGTTATGGAGCCCAGTGGTCTAGAAGCAAATAAATGCAACAAAAAAATACCTAAAAACGGGCTGCAGACGGTGAATCAAGGATACGTGCAAACATAAAATTGCGAAAAATCAAAATCTTCAAAATCAATAGAAAACTTTCGTTTACCATGAAAATTTCAATTGCGATATCTCGAGATTAGGTTCAACCAAGATTTTGAATTCTCGCGATTTTATGTTTGCACGTATCATAGATTCATCCCCTGCAGCCCGTTTTTGGGTACATTTTTCTCAGTTTTTTTTTTTTTTTTTTTTTTTTTTTTTTTTTTTTTTTTGCTTCAAAGACCACTGTGAGAGAGAGAGAGCGACCGAATCAAATGTTGGATTCAGCAGACTATACAAATCAAAGGAATACAAGCAAATTTAAATCCTTGAAAAAGAATTTATCTTACGCTTGGAAATTAGCCCCAGTGGTATCTCGAGAGGAAAATTCCCGATCCATTCAGATGCATAATTATATTCAGAGCCATGTATTGTGGGGGGTGGCCTTACGGAACAGGCTATTTTACCGGGAGAACTTCATAATCAGGAACAGCCGAGAGGATCCTCAAGCATTTTAAGCAGAGATACTCTTACGTATATTACGCTCCTGAATCCAAAAATTACCTTGGTTTTTCTATAGTTTTTGTTAATCCACACCCAAAGAGATAGAAAGAAATTGGCAAGAATTAAATTTTAGAGGTTTGAGGAGGGATTTACCTGATCCCCAAAGTTGAAAAATGTTTATTGACAAGGGGAAAAAATGGATCAAGACCGAAAAATTGAATTAAATTCGCTTAAAAGTTTTAAACAAAAATGTTATAATTTGTCGAATACTGCTTAGATTTGGTGATTAAAAACGGTGGCTCAGTTTCAAAATTACAAACATATATGTATGTATAATTTTCTTTCTTCCGCATGCATGGATGGTGCCATCCAATTAAAAATTATAAAATTACATCATTCAAAGGCTAGGACCAAAGAAGCACAAATTCAAATGGGGTTTTAAATTATGAATAAAATGTTGGATAACAAAGGCACGCATCAATCTTTTCTCCTCGGAAATCCGCTTAGTAATACTGAATTTGACTTGAGATAATTCAAGTCTAATCACACTGGCCAAGCTGTAATTTAAGGTAGGTAACTCAAGCTGTAACTCAAACGAATTGACGGTGAAACTTTCAAACTACGCACCTCGGCTTACGACGTTCCTGATGTCCTGTCATCTTATCTTTTGACAGTAGAGCTACACAACGTCCATTCTTAAACACGTGCGTGACTTTTCTTCTCTGTGCGAAGCAAATTCTGACAAAAAATCAAATAAATGATGCATGTTTTCCCTTGCAAAAATAAAATAGGAGCGGAGATCACTAAATTCCGCAAACGAGACACGTAGTTTGGGGGTTTCACCGTCCAAATGCATCGCACCTGAAAAAAGGTACAGTTTTTGGCCGTTCTCAAAAAGTTGGAATTTTGGAAAAAGCGACTTCGTGCCCTTTTGTTTCCACACGCTTTACATTGCAATGATTAGCAAAATTCGAAGCAAAGATAACTCACCTAAAGCCGCAGAATTAACTAAGAAATATCACAAAATTCTAGTTTCACGCGTTCAGGTTCGACGTACACAAGAGAACCTTCTTCTTGAACCACAAGAATTGCACTAGGGTTAAATTCGCAACGGCTCGTGATCAAGTTGTCAATATCAGGGACTTTTGGTGGATCCGGTGAATGCCCAACCTGCCGTGCTGAGTAAAAACGGCGTATGAGCATTCGAATGTTGCCAAATTTGCTCTCAGAAAATACTTATTTTTGGGAAAAACTGTGGGTATTTTTCCTTCAATTTTTCAGACTTTTTAGATCAAATTACGAACGAAATCCTCTAAAAAATTGGAAGAGATGTATTCATAAATTAACCTGGAAATTCGTGATTCTCGAAGGCAATTTGGCAACACCTGATAGCTCATACGGCGTTTTTCCCCAGCATGCCAGTAAAGATGTGCGGCCTGCGAGCGAGTAACAAAAATCACTCATCCAAATGAGATATACATTGGAGTTAAGCGGTTCTTGATCGGCGGAGTTGGCATCCGATGGAAGGAGGATGGGCATCAAAGTTCAAGGATTGTTTGCGGCTGAACTTGCGCGAAATATGAGCCAGCATCTTCGGCACAAAACTTGGAAGCAACATGGACGGTGATAAATAATAAATGACCCGTCGCCGTTTCGACGGGTCTAATTCTCCTTGAGACGTTAACGCTCCGTTTATGGAAATGGATCGCAAAAGAACTGCCGCTGCTTCCGCAGTGAGATCGATCAGATTTGCACCAGCTCGGTCGGGCAAATATTTTTCATTTTTTTTTTTTTTTTTCCAAATATTTTCAGATGATTTTTAAAAAATGTCATGTAACACATCATTCTATCCTATCATAACAATCCTCTGGTATCAAAGCGCCGGACTATGGTTGAAAGAAATGAACGTATGCTATCTACACGTTTCTTAGGTTTTGCATACACTGCCGTGGTAAGTAAAAACGCCTTATGAGCATTCGAATATTGCTAGCTTGCCTCTCAAAAGATATGTATTTTTAAAGAGTTATGAATATTCTCCTTTAAAAATTTCAAACTTTTTAGATCAAATGACGAGCGAAAGCCTCGGAAAAGTTGGAAAAGGATGATTCAAAAATTATTCTGAAAATTCGTGAATTTTCGAAGGAACCTGATGGCTCATATGGCGTTCGGCTTGAGTGCGGCAGTGCATTGTAAAAAATAAATAAACAAATCGTTCTCATTTTGGAGATAAGGTAGTTAGAATTTTATATTAAAAATGGAAAAGCGTAGGACGTCGGGCTAGATTCATAGTCTGGAATAAAAGAAGCTGCTTGAGTCGAAATTGTGGTGGATAGAATTATTCAGCCTAATAGACCGGTACCTCCTTTGAGTATAAATCCTAAAATAAGAACCAACTTTAAAATGTAAATTATTAAAAATATATTTATAATATTGGAAAATGTTATACAACATGTGAATGGAAGAGTTAGTATGGATTCTACATTAAAGATTAAGAATACGATAGACACAAAGTAAAAGTATAGCGAATGGTAGTCAGATATCTTATTAAATCCATACCGCACTAAAAGGTCGACCAAAAGTTGACGACAACGCCTGGATGCAACTATTTGTTGCCTAAGTTGCGTATCCAAAAAATTGAAGGCGTTTTTTATTTTTGCCCTCCGCAAAACAAGCAGCGCCACCCAAGCTGCCGTAACAAACTAACGAGGAGATGTTGTTCTGCTGAATACGTTAAATATCTCATGGTGCATTCAGCCATGATTTATATTCTTCAGAGCCTGATTAATTGATTATTTATCAATTGATTTTGTTTTAAAAAACAGAAATGATGACCAATTTGTCTGATTATTGATGAAGGAAAATTCTTGTAATTTTCGTCTACAAATATACATCCTTTAAAAAAATCAGACGTTAAATTTTTTTTTTTTTTTTTTTTTTTTTTTATAAAAAAAAAGGAGCATTAGCACAGCTGCAGATAGGAGAAACGTACTCTAGTTTCATTTTCAAACTTTTATCCCGAATCTGAGCAACACCTTATTGGCAGCATTGCGGGTCCACGCCTTGCTTCATCGCGCCTTCAATTTTTGCAGATGCAACACGGATATCCATCGAGTACGAATAATTGTATGTCTGCGCCGTCATCAATGTGTATCCTTTCCCTTGCTCTTCTTCCATACTGCGTTTGTTTTGTTTGTAGAGCTGCTTCAAGAGTTACGAGAGCAATCCAGCCAAGGATCGGAGAGACGTATCAGGCTTCGTTTTTTAAGTGTTCTTCGGAATCTGAGTGACATCTCGTTGGAGGTATGATGCGGAGCATTGTGAGTTAACGCCTCGCGCCATCGCGCCTACGATTTCGGCAGATGCAACACGGACATCCATCAAGCACGAATAGTTGTATCTCTGCGCTGTCATCAACGCGCGTTAAGGTGTCTCTAATTTTTGAAATTTGTGGAAATTTAAGTTTGAATTCGCTTAAAATGTTCCAATTATGTGTCTAAATCAATAGGTCGTATTCAATAATGGTTTGATATATCGTTTGGTTTAAAACAATAGAACATAATCTCAAACAAAAATTTTAAGATTTAATTTGAGAAAGCTGAGAATGAGAAAATTCCCAACAATTCCTCTTTTCATTGCCGTATTGTACTCATATATGTATTAAAATTTACCGCAAGAGACCCGTTCCCTCAGATTGCTCAATTGACTTTTGAGGCTGTGTTTACACATTGAACCAATCGATGTCGATCCTATCTCACCTGCTTGATGTATCGAATACGATCCATAATCATTTTCAAGAAAAAGTAAAGAACACAAATCAATGATGATTTTGATCAGGGACAAAATGATATAGTCGCACATTATTGTGGTTATATGTCCTACAATAATACGTCAGATTATAGCTACGAAAACGCTTTTTATCTGTAATTTAACCTAAAGTTTTTATTTTTAAAGGAAAATGAGTAGATTTTCCCCTACTTGTTCCTCTTACGATCTACATTTAAGTCTCTGCAGCTTCGTATAACCAGAGATTTTAAAATAAAACCGGAAATTCCACTTGCAATGAAACTAGAATATAAAGCTCCTGTTCTTTAAAATCTCTAGGTGTTAATAAACTACTCGTATTTGTGACAATGACCCAGTGGCCCACATATATTCATTTTAGCCGCAAACAATACAGAATTCAGGCGGATTTTAACATCATTGTTGCCTCATTTGTATCAGTGCTCAGATGTCTATGAGAATAAGCCTGTAAAAATTACCAGTTTCGCATTGTACTTAGCTACTCTGAGGGACTTAGCAAAATACTCACGCAAAATTCTAATCTCCGCGGTTTCGAATGTTATCATTTTCCGTATTTTTCCTCTTGCACAATTTTTCGGAATATTTCCCTCACATTTTTCTCTCGAGTGTAACAGAATACTCACGATTTTAAAATGTGGTGATCCCTCTCATCCAAATCAACAGTAAAGTAGGTAAGTAGAATAAATACATACATAGGCAGCCCAGTGCAGAGAGTTAGCATAGCAAGTAGTAGCGACTGATATATAATTCGTAAATTAAAACTCAATTTTTACCCAAATTTGAAAAAAAAGTTGTGAAATTTTTGACTTCGTCAACTTGCTCGCATTTTCCTCGAAGGGCATAGTTAGCGTAAGTTTCTATTTGTAGATATCAATGGCTAAAGTTGAACAATTTGAATCTCCAGTTACGACGTTGCGAATTTTTTTACCCCTATCCGTTCTCTTATTCGCTCCGTTTTTTTTTTACAAAACACAGAAAACCAACGGAGATGCTCTCTTGAAATTTTCTTTGAAATTTCTTCACTCGTTTGAAGATACCACTATAAAATTAAAGAACGCATTCCGGTTGGTTTCTTTAAAAAAAAAATAAAAAATATAGGAGACTTTGAAACGTTGCAGTAAATACATATAGTTTTCTACTCCAAAAATCATCGACTTGTTAATTAGATTTACGTATATTTGTGTTGTATTTTGACCATGGACAACAAACGTCCGTCTATTTGCTTTGTTTTAGGATTAAGTAACATCTTTTCGAAAATGACTATGTCGATCGATCATCGATAAATCGATTAATTTTGATAAATGAAGAACCTTAAAATGTTGTGATAGTTTTCCAAATTTGATTTCAGAAATTAATCGTTTCTTTATCTATTCGACTTTGTTCTGAAAAGCGAAAGGATTCCTTGTTAAACGTAGATGATCGCACATTCTTTGACCCAAATAACTTTTTTTTTCGTAGGACAATGCGTGTATCTCTGGTGGTGTTCTGTTTATGTGTCGCGATGAGAATCACTTCAACCACAGGTCGGCTGACCCTTCGGAGAGGGTGCCCGGTGATGCAAGACAGCAATCAGTGCACGAATGAATGCGGATACCGGAAGCAGTGCTCGAACGATCAGTTGTGCTGTCCGACATCCTGCGGCTCAGTTTGCATCCAAGAGCCCGTCATGTATGCAAGACCGAAGAAATATCGACGCAGACTCAGGAAAAATAGGAAAAAGGGCGGGACGAGCCAACCGGATGAGCCAATCAGCCCCCCGGATCCAGCTGATGACGTGGAGAAGTAAATCAATTGTAAGAGGGATTTTTTATAACACATGAAATTGTTTTATCGAGGAAAAAGACATCAAGAAATTGTGTCAAAATATGTAAGAATAGTATGTAATTAATAACGCATAATATTCAATAAAATTTAAGTACAATAAAAAATTCAAACATTTATTTTCCTTTCCTTTTAAGGGAGTAGCATCGATAAGGGTCCTTTTGGGCACTCCTTAAATGTCCTCAACTCCACGATTTTTGCTCTTTGCTGGTCCATATTTTACGGAACGCATCATGTTTTGGTCATCTTCGGTCTTTTTTTGGGTCTATCACTAGCCTAAAAATGGATAGATCTGAGGGCCAATTTTGGCGGAAATTACGGGGTTTTCGGGTTTGCAGTCGAATGCACCTGGGCAAAGGGCTGCCTTCAGACCACCGTATGGACGATTAATATTAGACCCGGAAAGAGACAGGAAAGGACCAAATCATGCTGCATCGCGTATAGTACCTTCGATGAGCAAAAAATCATAGAGTTGACGAATTTCAGGTTAGGATCAAAAACAACCCTTATCGATGCCCCTCCTTTTCAAAGAGAAAACAATGATTTGCTCTACATTCAGCAGCAGGCGTAAGAAATAAAATGTGTATGGAAACTTTTATACTATGAGTTTATTGTCTAAAACGGTATAGTCTATCTTCCTACTTTTGTGGAACCACGCTGATATTGCGAGAAAACATATACGTAGGATGACCTCTTAGTAAATCGAACTTTAATAAATGAATTGAACTAAATCTTATGGAGCTATTTCTGACTCATTTTAGTGACAAAATGTTTGCCGTTTGATACCCTCGTTTGATAGGATTTTTTTTACAGATGAGCCAGAACTGCAAAATGTAGTCCAACAGACTACTGGACAAGGTACACATTTAAGCATTAATCATGCTTTTTGCATCTTGTCTAATGGACCATAATCATAGGACTATGTTTTAAAGATCATTGCCATCAGATTTACTCGGGAAATCTGAGGTCGGTGTTTTGAAGATGTGCTGCCGTCCACTCGTCTATTTCCTTGCTCAATTCCGGAGTTAGCTCTGGGTCGCCCCCGTTAACTTTTCCTGGTAACAAAAGAAGTCACCATCATTAGTTTTCAGTAGATTCTGTATGATTAGCGTGAAAATGTGAGCAGCAGCAACCTGATCGTTGAAATTGATTGACAAATCAAGAGGCAAAGAGGACATAAGGAGTATGGAACGATCTTATTGATTGAAATGGATGGTTCTAATAATCTAAGGGCAAAAATGGTGGACTAACTAAAGGGTCTCTCATGGGTTGTCGTTAGTTAGTTTATCTTCTACCTTCTCCGTCCATTGAAACCACTCGCTTTCACCAATAGGATCCCTCCATATCCATTTTCTCTTCTTCGTCTATTGCTTTGTCTATCGATTTCAACAATTAGGCTGCTGGAGACTTAAAAGAGACGAGAACTCATTTATATCCCACACTTTGTTTAGGGTCTGCGGCGCGTTCCGTGCGGAACATGAAAATTGCCTCTCTATAGAGTAAATCCAATGGGAATATTCTCAGAGAGGACCAAAGGTTCATAGATGTTTATACGCCTGCTGATGTTCCTCGTAGGGTTATTCTAAGCTGCGTATATTAGTGGCACGCTAATAGGCACGAAGGGACAATTTGTCGCTCTTCTGGCTTAAGGGCGGGACTGTATAATTTGGAGTGATCCACATTGTCCATGTAACTCCATTCTTTCCAGGGTTCAAGTGAAAATGGAGATGTTGCATGTGTGAGGAATTTGCGATTTGACTGTTGATTCTTGTGTAAAAGTTCGGGAGAAACACGATGGTGCCACTGGTTTTCTCTGAAATCAACTCCCAAGCGCAAAAAAAGCTCTCAAGTTGAGGCCAAAATGGAGGGGATATCCCACGCTATCCTGAGAGCCCACCTCTACATCATGACAAACTCTCCATGCAAAGATAGGGAGCGAATACATTGACAGGGCTGCCACTTAATTTGGGGACTCTAAAACTGAAAACACGGCAACCCTGCTAATGTATTTGCTCCCCATCTTTGCACGGAGAGTTTGTCTTGATGTAGAGGTTGACTCTCAGGGTAGGGTGGGATATCCCCTCCATTTTGGCTTCAACTTGAGAGCTTTTTTGAGCTTGGGAGTTGATTCCAGAGAAAACCAGTGGCACCATCGTGTTTCTCGCGAACTTTTACCTAAGAATCAACAGTCAAATCGCAAATTCCTCACACATGCAACATCTCCATTGAAATGCACTCTTACGACATAAAAGCAAGAAAGGGACCACTATACAAGGTCCGAATTTAAGTACTCTGTCACATGTTTCTGAACCAGCATTTCACGTAGAACGTGATCCTCTCATCGAAAATTACTGATTTTAATTCCTAACTTAGATATCAACGTTTTTATTGCACACTGGTGACGGGGAATATGAATTGCCCGGTCAAAAGAAACTCGATGCTCCACGTGAGTCAAATCGCGCCCTACACTGAAAAAAAATTCTCGGCGTTTTTACCACGGTCCGTTGGTACCTTTACCATCTCACTTTTTTTACCAATTAACGGTAATTTTACCAAGACAGACTGGTAAGCTTACCCAAAAACCGGTATTTTTACTGTTTTTTTTCAGGTAAGAATACCACTTTTATTGGTTATCAATTCCAGGTAACTTTTCCATTTTATCTTGGTAATTCTACCTCAGTCGATAAAAAATATTGGCGTTTTTACCAAGGTCCAGTAAAATTACCGAGAAAGTTCAATAATTTTACCAAGATTTCTCGGTAACATTACCAATCCCATAAATGGTAAGTTTACCAAGAAAAAACTGGGATCAAATAGAACCCTGAATGCTTGTTAATTTTACCCTTTTCTTAGCAAATACACCGAGATTTTTTTCCAGTGTACAAGGGTTTCGGCAGGCTTCTCAATCGAGCATGTCCCTTCCCCGCCCTTTATTGTTCAAAGTGTAAACAATTTACTATAACTGAGCCAAAACGTCATAATTGAGGCTTGAGGCTACTATATTTTCATATCGCAGAGACTGCTACGGTAACGTTTGGTGTGTGATTTGACCAACGCAGACCCTCGAGTTTTCATGCGCGGGAGGTTTGAATGGGCCTGTTGCAAACTTTTGCTAGAGCAAAAATAAGAGTTGTTTCTTGTAGATAATGCCTCAAAAATCACGATGAGCGCATCGGCAAAGTCTGAAATGCACTCATAACTTCACAATCTGCGTAAGAAATTTGCGTTTTTTTAAGCTTCCCGCTTCAAAAACGATACTACGGCATAGGTGAACATTTTGTCAGAGGAGTCGCTCCATCGTCGGCGATATTCATCATGGCCGACGCTTGCACGCAGTTCCGCGCGTAATTCAAGGAGAGTTCAAGGTCAATCAATTCGGGCGTGGAAAATATGAACGTTAACACACCGATTGTTATCTGGTCTAATCCAGTTCAGGTGTTATCTCGTCCCATCAAACGTGTTTTGGCGGATTGGCGTCGGCTATGATGATTATTGCCGACGATGGAACGACTCCTCTTACAAAATGTTCACCTGTGCCGTAGTATCGTTTTTGAAGCGGGAAGCTCAAAAAACCGCAAATTTCTTAAGCAGATTGTGAAGTTATGAGTGCATTTCAGAGTTTGCCGATGCGCTCATCGTGATTTTTGAGGCATTATCTATAAGAAACAACTCTTAGTTTTGCTCTAGCAAAAGTTTGCAACAGGCCCATTTAATCTAAAATATCTGAAAATTTCAAGGAAAAATATGCATGATTTTTTTTTCTTTTTTTTCTTTTTTTTTCTTTTTTTATTAGTATTAAGTGACCTTTCACAAGAAGATATACACTTTGTTTCTAAAGATATGCATGAATGTTGTCTAAAATACATGTTTCATCAAGGGAAATTTGGCAACTCTCGAATGTTCATAGGGCGTTCTTCCTTAGCACGGCAGTATTATACCTTCTGTTTTGAAACCGGGCGGCTCTCTAATACTGGCTTACGCGCTTCGGTCTGACTGTATGACTTACCTCTATATCGAACACTTATTTACAAAGGGACGAATGGTGCATTATAGACTTGTCAAAGTAGAAACTGCGATGGACATTTTGAAGAATGGACATTCAGAATAGGCCGCCCTATAGCGCTTTTTACTGTCCACATGCATAAATATTCCATTCAGGATACGAGTATCAGTGAAAAAGAGATTACTTGCCATTCCGTATGAATTCTTCCGTATGGTCCGCAATTATTCCTTTGATTTCTACTGAATCTGATTTGATGCGCACTCTTTGTTTAAAAGTGTTAATTTCCATAAAGTTCACAAGCTGTTGCAATTGGTCATCAGAGTAATTGACGTCCAAAAACTTTGCAATTTTCTTTATCTCCGAAAATCGATCCTGTAAATGGGGAAAATAAATAATTCTTTGGTCTGTACTCCAGAAAATAATCTTAATTAACTATTTCACAGAGAAAGATGCCCGCATACAACTTGTCATGTCATTTCACATTGTACGGGCATCGTTTTCTATTTCATACGAATCTTAGAAAATAAATTAAAATGAGCTTTATAGGTAAGGCTTTAAACTGCTGACACATTACACACTGCCCGCTTCTGACAGGCTAAGTGGTCCGCTTTCAGGCGGGTCCGGCTTAATTTCTCAGTTTTCTCATTATTGGTTCCAAAACAGTAAATACAATCAACACCGTATTTGCATCAAATTTTTGAATGCACGATAGACGACAGCTCTTTTTGGCATGGATTCTATTTCTATTTGTCACCAAATTAAAACCACAATATAGTACGTTATCTGTACAATACCTCGATTAAAGACATGTTTGTTATGAAAGGCGAATACTTTTAAAATGATTCGTCCTTATTTATACCAAAACATTCTGGATCAGGGCCGGATTAAGGGGGTGGCCACATGAGCCGCGGCCCATGGCGGCAAATCTAGGGGGCGGCAAATTTTGCAATTTTCTTATATGCAGGTAATGAAAAAATCGGATTTAGAAAAAATTACAAACGAAAAAAGGCGACAATATCTCTCATTACCTGAGAGTATAGTAATTTCTAATTTTGTCGTCTTTCAGTGATACAAGTGACAGCACCTTTAATTAGTCGAGTTAAGAGAGAAACCAAACACGCAATTTGGCCTGGAACGGCGCGACTTGGAGAGAAATGATGACGAGGACTTGAGATGAAAAGGAGAAGCCCTCGGCGCGGCGATCGATCGGCATGTAACACATATTAGCGCCTAAAAGACTGCACGAATACTTCACGCATTGCATCAAACACAGTGCGGTCACTGCGGTCAGCGTGAAACGGATAGCGCCTGCGAGAATGTATGAATACTTCACGCATTGCGTCAAATACAGTGCGTTCAGCAGCGGTCGGCGTGAAAATCATAGTACCTACAAGACTGTCGGAATACTTCACGCATTGCGCCAAACACGGTGCGGTCTGCGCGGCGCGGCGCGGCGGAAGTTAAAATCACTAAACCACATTTATGTTTGTTCTTTCATAAATTTTTCGTTCATTTCTTATGAATGGAAGGCCTTGTCCACTAAGAGAGGTTTACGAAACTTAAATTTCGCGCAAAGTTCCGTGAACTTTCGGTAGTAGTGTTGACAGGGCTTTCCCAAAAAATGTGTCCAACACGAGTCTGTGGCTCAATGTTTGTAAGTTTTTTTCTTTTTTATTTGTTGATTATATTATTTTTTTTTTTTCTTACGTTGTATTTACGTCTCGACATGCCTTTGACGTATTTGCATTTACAGATACTAACCTTTGAGAGGTTTTCGTAAAATAAAAACAGCATATTTGGATGATAACGTTGGGTCCACGCCTGTTTCAAGTGCTCCCAGTACGGACTATAACATACTGCAAAAATAATTTAATTATTGAAATTACAATTTTATTAAAACAAGTGAAAACAATTTTCCTAATATTCGGGTTTTTCCTAAAATGAAATATACGTTAAAAAGTAAAATATGTTTTTCTTTATATTTAGAAACTTTGTGGGTACTATTTACAGTTTTACGCATTATACAAATTACGCTTCTATGATAAGGCACAGAGGAGACCGAAGTCCCCCCACTCTGTGCCCCATCAGAGATTAAGCCTCTGGGGAAAATGAGACCCTCAAATTCGAATTCCTCGGGATCAATTACATGTGAGGACATCATTTTTCCTAGCCTTAAAATTAATTTAGTGAACGTAAATTTTTTAAAGAGGTTCTCTAACCCCCATCCTTAAGGGTCAATATTTCGGACACAGATGTGCCGATTTGGGATTTCTTGGTGACAGTTTAGGTTTATGTTTTCCGTGCTTTCCGATTTCGTTTAAAGAATTTGAAGTGAAGACCCCCCCCCTTT